GGTAAAGGGCTGGTGCGTTCTGCAGATGTGCGCGACCGTCGTCACTTCGACCTGCTCGCCGCTTTCGATCTTGCGTTTTTGGCCCCCCTTCCTCTTGAAGACCTCCAGGATCCAGTGGTTCGTACTTGTATTCTTAGGAAATGGCACCCTAGGCCGGCGTGTGGCACCGCTGTCAAGTCCGTACGCATATCCAGAAGTGTGTGTGAAAGCCTTGGAGCCACGGGGAATGCAGTTGGTTGTCCAACGAAGAGGGGACTTTGGTGAGCAACATCAGGCCCAAAACTTGGCTCTTCAACCGGCTGAACTTCATGTGAATCACGCAGAAGAAGGTCCCGCGCTGTGGGTGCTACAGATTGTCGTGCCTTGCCGGCTTCTAATCTGCGCTAGCACGCATATTATGCAGTGCACACTGCCGTGGTCAAACTTTTGCTTTCAACGTCGGCGTCGTGGTGGTGGTGGCGGCGGTGGCGGTGGCGGTGGCTGTTGTTGTTGTTGTTGTTGCTGCTGCTGTTGTTGTTGTTGTCGTCGCCGTCGTCGCCGTCGTCGTCGTCGTCGTCGTAGTCATAGTCGAATAGTCGTAGCCGTAATCGTATTCGTAGTCCTCGTCGTTCTCGTTCTCGTTCTCGTTCTCGTTCTCGTTCTCGTCCTCGTCCTCGTCCTCGTCCTCGTCCTCGTCCTCGTCGTCCTCGTCGTCCTCGTCGTCCTCGTCGTCCTCGTCGTCCTGGTCGTCCTCGTCGTCCTCCTCGTCGTCGTCGTCGTAGTAGTAGTAGTAGTAGTAGTGGTAGCAGTAGTAGTAGTAGTAGCCGTCGTCGTCGTCGTCGTCGTAGAAGCAGCAGGAGCAGTGGTAGTGGCAGCAGCGGCAGCTGCAGCAGTAGCTTTGACATGTTTCTTTTCCTTTTTTCCTTTCATCCACTGTTCGTTTCCATCCCTTATTTGCACCTTGTCCACCACTTCCCCTTGTCCTCTGAACTGCCCCAACAAGTTGTACAATGTACGTATGCGTTGGGGCCTGTTGGGGATAACAAAATATCAAAAAGGCAGGCTTTTTGCCCACCACCGCCGGAAGTATGAGTCACACCTCATCATCCGATGCCTCATATCAGCAATCACTTGGCCCAAGGAACTTCCACAACCGGCGGCTCTGCGCTCGGCCGCGCTCCTTTTGGCGCGGCGGCGGACCGGCGGGAAGAAGATGCTCCCCATCCGTTCGCCAGGGAAAAAGATGCGCCATGGGCCATGGCATGGTTGCCAAGATGAGAATGCAATGAGGGTTCACGGAGCCATTGAGGGGATTGAACCGAATCAAAGTCCAGCCCGATGATGCTCTTTTTGCTCGGCGCTCTGCACTGCCTTGTGAGCAGTGCCCACCAAGGGTGATTATGGTGCGAAACCTGGCTCGCATTGTGGAAGATCTGAGGCTGAGGGGCCACTGACCAATCCACCATTTTACTAACGAATGACTGGCACTTGTTGACCATGTGCACAGACTCCGTACCGTCATTATGAAGTGCTCGAAACCTTGTCACCACTGTCACCTTTTGATGTGCCACTTCCGGCTCCTCCGTTCGTTTGCAGCCGTCTAGGGCTCATGTTGCCTGACGGGCCTTGTGAAGAGCATGCCGAACATCCGACACGGTGATCAGCCCCTCAGCTTCGGGGGATGGTGTTTTTCCCATTGGCAAGTGGATGCACATGGGGAAAGATGGTGAAGCTGGTGAGTTGTTGGACTGAGTAGGCCAAACCAGGTCATTCTTCGGTCTCTTTCCGCATCCAGACTTTCGTGTTGGGAACATTGGGGCTCGATTCCGGTGTTTTCGCTCGAGAAGGATGTGAGTTGGCCAGAACCCACCCTTCCTTCCGGTGTTTTCGCTCTGTGTGATAGTCCATCCAGATTTTCAGGGTCTAGCTATGAGCCCGTTCACCGTGTGTTCTCCCTGCCAGGCCATGTCTGCGCGCGCCTCACCCGTACGTCCGGTGGTCTCGCGCGTGAAGCTGCCTCAGCCAGGGCGAGGGCAGGTGGGGGTGCGAAAGGGGTCAGCGTCACCATGCGCACCCGCGTGCCTTTGAGGACTTTATACTAGGTCCCGCTCATGGGATTTCAGAAACATCCACACATCCACACAGCCTTAAGGTCCGGAGGTGCACCCCCTGCGCCACCCCGCACGACTCCCTCCTCCGTCTGAACCGAGAGACGGGGCGTCTGAACCGACCGGGGCGGTTTGAGCCTCGCGGCGCGGCGATCCGTGGGACCCTGCGGCCCGTGGGACCGGAGAGGCCTGGGAGTCGGTCTGACTACAAAAAGAATGGTCTGAAGAATGGGTGGTTTCTAGGGTGCCTGTCCTATAGGGATTTCTCCTTTACGTCACGGATGACAGACCCCTGTTTTTGGTCTTCGGAGTGCGTGCTCGTCCAAGTTCAGGGAAAAAGCATGGCCACGCCATCCACTTCCATGTTAGTGAGGCATGTGCTTGTATAGTAGGAAAGGAGGGAATTTTCACCACCCCTCTATATACCTCAGGCTCCAGCCACCCTTCTTCCATCTTATGCCTTCCTTCCTGGCGCACCCGTGCGTGGCACCGCGCGCCAGAGCGGCCTCCGGGCGCCGCTGCAGGTCCGCGTGGCCGACATCACCGCGGGCTCCGGCTGCGCTGAGCCGGGCAGCCGCTCCGGCAGCGCGCGCTCGCTGGCGGCGCGCTCGGTGCCCACGCCGGTGTTGGACAGCTCGCCCGGCCGGCGACCTAGGGAGCTGGGGGGGGTGGTGGGTGGAGCCGAGTTCTCGAAAGCCGCCCGAAGATTGCGAGCATGCGGAATTCTGAAGTGGAAGGGGTTCCCTGTGACCCATCTAAGGGGTGAAGCTTGATGAAATTTAGACTGTAGAAAGCCATGGTCGTGACTTTCCATAGAATCTTTGGACTCCGCCGTTGGGTGCGCCGCAGCCATGGCCGTTGAGGTGCGGCTGTGACGCGGCATGTCCGAACGCCGGAGCTTCGACACGGAAGCACACTGGAGAGCATCCGGTCCTTGCATCGATCCAGTTCGGAGAATGTGCTGGCACTTGGTTGGCAGCTAACGGACAGGGCTAAGGTGCTTAACTGAGTTATCTCATCCAAAACCGCAAAGGGTGTTGGTTCATTACAGCAGGACGGTGCGATGTCTTTCTTTTGGGGGGCACTTTGCTTGCAGGCCCTTTGATCGCAGGGCTCAAGTGTTTTGGGTGGGGCAGTTTGGACTCTGTCGATGTAGTCCTTGTTGTCATGACGTGCCGTTTGGAGTTCGACAGGATTGGTATTTGACCTCACCCCATTGGCACTGGACACCCACATCTTCAGACCGTCACAAGCAGGGAGAGGTGGAGGCCAGGTGAAGGTGGCGCCGGTGGGGAGGAGGCATGAGGAGGCCAGGTCTGGCTTCAGTACAGTGCATTAGTGCTGGAGCACCGGAGGCCCCAGGTAGTGCTTCTGGCTGGCTGAATGCAGTGTATCGCGACAGGTGTGCCCGGATCGCGTGTTTTTGAGGTAAGATCGTTACAACGAACTGGGTCCTCCGCACGGGACGGGCCAGATGAGACGATTGCCAGATGCTAGGCCGCATTTCTAGCAGCCTGGGATTTGTGCTGCAAACATTTTGGCTGCTTTGTGCCGCCCCAGGGGAATTCCCGGTGATTTGGCGATGTTCCATGCTTTTTCGGCGGTGCCACAGGCTGACGCACCTGCCCTAAGGCCAGCCGGGCAGTACGAGCACCGGCAAGGGCTTCGAAGCGCCACTGAGCTGCGAAGGGAGGGCGCATTCCAGTTTCCCACGCATGGAGGGTCGAACTCCAGGGCGCCAGGAGCATCTATACCATTCTATACCTAGAACCTGAATGACCCCCGTTTTGGAAGATCAACTATCCAACATATGATCTTTTCCTTTCAAGAAGGAGGTCAAATGGGTTCTAGGTATTCATATCTAGATGTATCAACCGTTACGCCTTGAATATCCTTGAATGCTCAAACTGAAGAAGTAGTGGAGGGAAGGGGAAGGCTGCCCCCCTCCACCAATCAGGTCACACCATGTGGGCTTGCTAACCTTGCTGACGAACACGAGACCATTCAAGGACCAATCTTCATCTGCAAGCGGAACGAACCCCCCAGTCCCTCACAAAGCTCACAGACGACTTGCACACTCATCCGGGTGCTTTCCACCTCAAGGTCTCTTCCCGCAGCCAGTGTTTGGAACCCAGTGCCGCTGCCCGACCCGCCGGTCACGCCGCGGCCCGACGTGGCGCCCGACCACGTGGCGCCCAACGCGGCGACGGCCACGCCGCCCGTGTCGCAGCTCCACTCGAAGGCGGGGGTGACAGAGCCGGGGCAGAGCAGGGTGATGGATGAGGTGGAACTGGTGGATGAACCGTAGCTGTTCTATCATCAGCCACAGTTGGAAGGCGTTTCACGAAAGATTGCCAGCTTCTTCGAGGTGACCTTTTTGCAGTCCCTAACTGCGCGAACTGGCCCTTTTTACAGGCTCGGTGATCCCTAAACCAGGGGATCAAAAGGTCAGTCTGAAGAAGAACTTTATACCACCTGGAGGTCGATGTTATCTGCCTGCCTGTCTGCCCTCCGTCTTAGACAAGCGCAGGAGCCGCGCGTGCTGCGGGCCAATTCCGATGCCAAGCCGTCGGTCCGCGCCGCGCCCGGTCGGCCGAAGTCACGCGCCGCGGCGGAGTGAAGATAGTGAAGGGGAAGATGGAGCCAAAACGGCTCTAGCATTTGAAGGAATCCAGGGTGAGTGGGGAGGGTTTGAACTTCGGATTTGAGGCTGACATGTGTAGAAGGCACCAATTTGGGGAGGCCAGAGGGTTGCATCCTTCCACATCCCTCCTCGACTGCACAGATGGGGCATTGTGGTTCTACTGTAATTATGGCACATTGCAACTTGGACTTGTCGAAGTTACATCGTCCGGACTTGTTTGACAGGAGGCCAGGTCTGCCAGGTCTGCCAGGTCTGCCAGACCTTTTCAGATGAGCACGTGCTTTCCACCTTCCAACCGCCACCGAGGTCCTCGCCGCCAGGGCTCCTCCGGTCCGCGGCCCCAATCCGAGCCGCCCCAGACAGGCCAGACGGGCGTGACCGGCGTTCTGCCCGGCGTTCTGCCCAAGCTGCTGGACGAGATCGAGGATCACCTGCTACGGCAGACGGCGCGGCCGCCAGTGGATGCCAGCAGCTGGCTGCAAGAGACTGCGCAACTGGAGATCTATGCGGAGGAGAGGGGGGGGTGGAGGGGTGGTGGATGAGTATGCATGGAGGCTTGCCGAATGAAAGATTATGAAAGACAAGCAAGAAAGGGTCTCTGTTTGCTCTCTCTGTTGATCCGAGGAGATGCGGAAGTTGTTGCACACCTTTGAGGCTGGATTTAGTGGGTGTGCCGAAGTTCGACATCCCCATTCCTGGAGGACTCTGAATGACCCCCTCAAAGTCAACAAGTCTTCAGTCAGGTCATCCCAAGCAGCTTTGTTTGAGGCAGGCGAGCTGGTGACCGAGGCTCCCTCCGCGCCCGCTCGAGCGCGCGGGCGGAGGGCAGCAGCGCCCAAGGGCAGCGTGCCGGTGCGCGAGCTGTCCGTGCTTCGTCACTGGGCCGTTTATGGCTTGGGGTTAGTGCGTAGTGAACAGGGAATGGAATGGCTCATTCTGTAATAGAGGTTTCCTTTGCTTCTCGGATTCTGGCAGGATCTCTTCTTTTTCAAGTTTCTTCAAACGGGAAGCGCATCTGCATTCTTACGATCTCTGTGAAGCAGTGCACATAGCCCATCTGTGGGGGTCTCACAGCTCCAGAACTCGGGCTCCGAACCACAGAGTCAGAGCAGTTCTCCGAGTCGCGGGCGTCGTCCAAGGTGGAGATAAGGAGCTCCGCTGGGCTCGGCAGCAGCTGAAGAATTGTAGCTGGGCACCCACGTGACGAGGGGGGGGCCAGTCACACGTGACGAGGTGACCCATCCCCAAACGCCGAAAGAATGAGAGACAGCATACATCGTGCATGTTTCAAGGAAAAATGGTCTCGAATCGATGTGTTTGGAGGTCGCTCTGCTGCTTAAATTCAGGTGGTCAAGGAAGCTGTGTCAAATAGGGAGTATGTTCGATTTTAGCATGTTTTGTTTTTTTCACCATTTATATGCATAACTGGTATTGGATGGTATGCCATGCCGTTAGCTATTTTTTCCTTTGGTGGGTTCCGGCCTTTTGGCTTTTGGGTGACTTTTGACTTCTCGCTTCTGTGGCCTTTTGGACTTTGGAATTGGTGGCTGGCCTGGTTGATGGCTTTCGCTGGCTTTTGGTTGCTTTCTTTGGTGCTTCAATCCGTGTGCTTGGGGGGGTCTTTCGCTTTGTTGCCATCCGCTGCACAAAATATCACGGGCCAAGGTCATTTGCACAGAGGTCCTCTCCATGTTTGAACTTAAAGCCTTTGCCTGTGTAAATGTTTCCTTAAGCAGTTACATCGAAAGGGTTTCAACAGGACACATACAAGTTAAAAGGACATTGAACGTGAATGTACAAGAAGTGTTTAATTTCAAGAATCAGATTGAAGAGAGAAACTGTAAGAACAATAAAATTACAATTGTTGTGAGCGGGGTGGGAAAACGCAGGCAAAACAAACAACTTAGACCAAACGAGACCAAAAACACCTACCAATTAAACGCCGGCCGCTCCCTCCCTCATTCCTTGCATCCGCAGGGTCTTTTCCTGACGCCTCACGCTAGGGACGTTCTTACGCGTTCGGGGTGGAGCAGTCAAGAACCATCACGGTTTTTACCCGCCAAATGGGCGAGCCGGTCCTTGCCAACTCCAGGCCCCTTTTGAGGCATCAGCACATTCAAATGACAAAGGCATCGGTTTAAAGATTCAACCGGTCAGCGGATGATTTGCCCCCTGTACGTATGGGGGCGGTGAGGCGGAAAATCGGCTGAAAAGGATCCTGATTGAGCTACCTCAGGTTAACTGGCACACCTTGCAACGGCCTCGCCACCCACCTCCCTCTCAAAGTGGTCAATGATTTGGGTTCTTGTTGGATTCGCTCCACTCTTCTGGTGGGTTTGAGTAGGAAGTGCCACCTCCAACGCCAGGTGAGTTAGAATATCTCCACCTTCAGCAGCTTTTGGGCAGTAGCGAGAAGCAGCTCTCGGCCCAGCTGCGTCAGGCACGTGAAATTCAAACAAGCGCGGGTAAACGGCGGGAGTAACTATGACTCTTAAGGTAGCCAAGTGCCTCGTCATCTGATTAGTCACGCGCATGAATGGATTAACGAGATTCCCACTGTCCCTACCGAGCGAAACCACAGCCAAGGGAACGGGCTTGGGATAACCAGCGGGGAAAGCAGGTCCTCCGTGCTTTGGGTGGTTGGCCCTTTACGAACGAGTCGTGAAGAAACCGTTGATTGCCCCCCAAAAACCTGGGAATGCTGGTGAGCCATCCCCAAGTGAACCTCCCAAAACCATCAGATCAGCCGGAGGTACAGGAGGCCCTGGAACAGGAGAAGCGAGCCTTGGCAAGATGATGGCTGTGGGAAACGCCGGTCTCAACGCTGTGGTATCACCAAATCCTTGCGGGACATGGGTAGGTCCCTGTGAGGTATGGTTGCTTTGGAGCTTCGGGTCGGGATTCTGCAGCCCACGCCGCCGCGCTCGAGCCAGGACGGGTGAAGCAGCTCGAGCGGGAGAACCACAAGCGCGAGCGCTCGATCGCCCGCGCGGCGGAGCGCGCTGGGGGCGGTGAGCTGGGGCTGCTGGCGGTGGATGGCAATGCTCGGGCGTTGCGGGAGGCACGGAGAGTTCTTTTTCAGTGACGAGAAGCTACTAGGGTGGAGGCCGCTACTAAGGTGGAGGCCATTACTTATACTAATAACAAGAAGCTACCTCATTTGTTTTGGCTTCTTCCGTGGCTTCTTCGGCCGGGAGGGGCGACCGTGTCTTGTTCGTTCAGGTTGGGAGGGCCGGCCGGGATACGGCCGGGATACGCCTGTTCACGTTTCACCCGTGTTGTGATGGCAGGGGATGCCCATGTCGCATAGCGGCCCTATGTCGCCTCTTCTCATGTCTTCAACACCTGTGGAGATCGGGGAGGGACGCTACTGGCCGTTGTCCAGAGTTCAAACGTTGAAACGCTGGAGATTGAAATGGGCCTCGCGGCCTCATGTTTCCAGCTATAGTCTACTCATGTCTACTCTCTGGAGTTGTAGCCATGTCTATATATATATATAGAGAGATTTTTTTAAAGTTGTCTTGTTGAGATCATCTCTGGAGCAATTCCCTTGCTCTTGGTCGCCATGCTCTGGTGTTTTGCCGAAGCTCTGGTGTTGTTCTCGGCGCTGCAAGGCTCATGGTCTAAGTAGACTCTGCTTGCACGGTAGCCTTCGCAGACGAGCTTGACGAATCTCAGAGGTTGTATCCAAACCCAAGGACAAAAGCAGCAGCCAACTCATCAGGCCTTTCAAGGGCACAGTTGAGGCAAGACTTTCCCATCACCCACGCTTTGCCCGTCTCCCATCAGGAAGCCTTACGGCCAGTGCTTGCCAAGTATGTGCCCCTGAGGCTTAGCCCATCTGCGGTGTATCTGCTGCGAAGCTTCCGCCTCGAAGAGACGGTGGTGACTCAGGAGACGGTGGTGACCCCTTGCTCAGTTGGCTCGCTTGGACTGAACGGCAAAGAGAGACGAAAATATCACAGAACCCGGCGCGCGCCAAATCTAAACAAACATGCGATTGGACACAACACGCCCTTCACGCAGCTGCATCAAGGCCCCAGGCACTGCACCTCTTCGAGAAAGAAACACTGCCACAACGCCGTGCACAAGAAAACAGCGAAACAACCAGGCCACCATCTCGCAGAGACAAAAGCAGAGGAGTGGCACAGCGGTCAAAGCTGGCAGCCAAAAAGTCTAAACTCTGGAGTGAACCCCTGTGCACACACAAGAGAAGAAGACACTCTTCAAGGTGAATGCCTGGTGGAGTCTAAAGAGTACAGTTGAACCTCCAGAGAGAAACCTTGTGGTATACAACAACAAACCAACAAAAACCTCTGGAGTTCAGACATAAATGAAACCATGCAGAATAGCATTACAGTAACTCTGAAGATTAGGCCTATGAGCACATATGAACCGAGCACAAGTAGAAACTACAAAGACACTAGCTTTCAACTAAGGGAGAGTTTTCTCTGGAGTAAAGCCCTGGAACATAAAAAGAACGAAATTGAAACTCTATACCAGCACCTTCCAACAGGTCTCCTCTGGAGGCTTTTGTAGACTTAAAAGTCGCAGGTGGTGACCTGTTGGAAGGTCCTGGTAGTTTCAACCCCTGAACTCTGAAACTTCGCCTTTATCTCGGGGAGGTCGGCCCGTGAAGGCCATAAGTCATAAGGAATTCGGACGAGGCCTTAGGCCTTAAGAATAGTAGGTGAAGACCCAGATGGACGGTTTCTGTCGGCTCTTTTGGGTGCTCTAGAGCACGCCTAGCTGCTCACAGGGCTGCAGCTGCATAGTAAGAACTTGGGTGATAAGACATCACCAGCTCTGCATCGAATGGCTGAAGCAGTGGAGATGCCTCCCGAGACGAAGGAGGAGATCATCAATGCTCCGAAGTTAGCCTTCATTCCCGTCTATCAGCGCTGCACTGGCAGCGTCGATGATGAGCACATGGAGACCTTCCAGAAAAAGGCGGGCTTGTCTACAGAGGATGTGCAGGTGATGAAAGGCATCATCGAGGACGGCTTTCAGTACTTTGTTTGCATCCGCTGCTTAGCTCTGCAGTGTTTTTCCATGGCACCTCTTTTGGGCGGTGGTGCCGCGATGATCGCGCGCTTCATGACGCATGACTTTACGATCCCAATCATTATTGGCATTAGCTCACTGGTCACGCTCTTCATTGGCAGCATTCTTGGCCTCATTTGGTGGGTGAACAAGCACGAAACTGGACTGCAGGAAGTGCGGGGTTCCTTATGATTCTTCGAGACGCGTTTTTCCACAATTCACTTGCAGGTGATTGCTGTTTTATTGCTCATTAGCCTACAACACCACGATCAACATGACTTATTAGATCCATTTAGATCCTATTTCATGACCACGACACCACGGATGCTCCTTGTGGGGTGGGCTGCACGTTCATCCATGGGACTCAAGACAACAATGAGGACAAAACACATTAAAATGCCGGGAGGAAATAGCTTGGTAGAGAATGCAATCCAAAGGGTGAGGAGGATGGCAAGACTGACGGAAAAACACCACAGATCGAACTGGGGCCCGAGGGTCAGCTGCCGAGGTTCGAGTGTTTGGCTCAAGGGAGGAGAAGCAAACTAGATCTACCAAACTCCAGACTCCAGTCCATACTGAAGGCCCTTTTTCGAGATCAAAAAGTCGGTCCGCACTTATTTACTACCACTTTATTCAAGACTTTGTAAAACAATTGCTCATTGTTGGCTTCAAGCACTCACGAGGCCATATGAAACAATAGAATACATAACTAAAAAGTTATACAATTTCTAAAAACTGCATAGATTTTTTACCCGCCAAACGTTAAGACAACTATACACAATGCATATATTTTAGAATTCCATTTAGTGAAATATACTAAATTGAGCTGCGCACTCCCCAGGAAACTCAAGAGTCCATCGTTCTAAAGCTGCACGAGCGCTTTCCAAGCATGCTCTTCAAGATGAATTCTGACAGAGATTCAGAAGGTTTGGGGCTGTTGGTGCTCTACCCAACTCAGGTTTCGTTGCTGGTGTGAGTTGCGTTTGAACCAAGATCTGATGGATCCAGGCTGTCAGTGGCTGCCACTTTTCTCTGAGGGCCTGTGGAGCGGAGCCGTCAGAGATTTTGGAGCATTTTTTTGTCCATTCCATGGCACAGAAAAGGCCATGAGCAACTCTCTTCCGATTGGGTCATGAAAAGACAAGAAGTGGTTTCCGGTGTTCAAGGACAAAGAGGTCAGGATGTCAACTTGTTGAATGTTCAGTTTCATCTCTTAATCTCTTAGCTAAACTCTGTTTGTTATGCTGATGGTTGTGGCCTGCAGTTGTAATTATAACCTAATTCACGCACCCGTGCCCTGGATACTGTAGAACCGCGGCGCCCAGGGCGGGATTGTTTAAAAGCGTGGGAGCACCAGCGACAGTCGCAAGTCAACCCCTTGCATGGGACTGTCGGTAGAGGACATGCCTTTTCAAAAGAGTTCAACAGTATAGCTGCCTCCTCTTGCCAGACTTCGCATCGTTGCTCGACGCCATGGGCGAACACCTCATCTCTTGACCGTGACGACACAACGCCACGGGCGTTCCCCATGAGACGAGCCACAGTGATGCATTGTGCAGATCGCTTCAGCTGTGAAGTGTCAAAAGACATGCGCTTTCCATGCAAGACCATGGCATTTACCTGTCCAGTCGAAGTGTCATGTCGTGTGTCATGTGTGCTGCAAGAGATACGATGCAGTTGAGTACCAAATCATTGCACCTGCAGGTGGAACGGCTAGAGGCAGAACTGGAGGTGTTCCAAATGAAGAACTCCAACCTCCGCAAGCAGGTGGAGGAGGGGTTTCACCCGTGCTGGGCCGGTTGTTGTAGCTTCTGGTGTGGGTTTTTGGTGCTTTCCAGGGTTCGGGTTGAGGTTTCAAACGTCAGCAATTAAGTCTTAAGCGCTCTTTTTCACGGATTTCATTGGTTCTCCGGGCGCCTTCCCTTCCGAGAGCAGATACTGTAGTTGAACTGTTGATCTCCCAAGAATCAACACCTGCGCCAACACTGGACCTGTATATAATGAGCTCAGGCGGACGTTGGGTTTGAAACAGATCCTTTTGGCACCTGATGCACGGCCTCACGGCCGCATCTACAGCCTCGGCCTGCCGTTCGTGGGCGCCAGGACGAGGAGACCCGGTTGCAGCAGAATGTGCGCAGTCGCGAGGCGCAAGCGGTGAAGTATGAGACGCTCATGGCCAAGTTGGAGAGTGAGGTGCGAAACCCACGGCGCTGAGACGGAGGGGTTCCGGGTGGCCTGGTGGAACGTCTGAGCAGATGCAGTGTTTTTCTGCATTTGTGGCCGGGGGGATTGCCAAGTGTTCAAAGGTTTTGTGCTATACAGAAGACAGGGACAGGAGCAGTTGAGCGTTTTGAACGGCTAAGAAGGCGTTTGGCCCTAGCTCTTTTTATGGGCTCCGCAACTTGCAGCCCGTGGTGGATGTTCAATCATCCGCCGCATCCAATTTCTTTCGTTGTGGGTATTTTTGACTCACGTCCGTCTTCCATGCACAGATGATTTCAGCCTGTGACATGTTGTCTAAGTCATGTTTTGTGAGTTCTTCAGACCATTGGAGCCGCTTGGCCCTCTGTCCTCGTGGACACATATGATACATCCTGAGTCCTGAGTCACTTTCCTCCTTCCAAAGGCCAAAGAGCCTTTTGAACCGCCAACCTCCAAACCCATCGGAGTCCTCCACCGCCCGCCCGGCCAGGAGACCCAGCGGCGCTTGGCCGAGGAGCAGCGGCAGGTGGACTCGGAGCAATTGGAGGAAGAGCAGCTCAGGGCCGAGATCCGTCCGGTCCTTAGCGCCTCCATGCCACCCACTCAGCCTGATGGTCCCCCCCCCCCTTCCGCCCGGATCCCGCGGTCGGGAGCCGCCCCCCTGGTCGCGAGTGCGAACCTGGCGTAGGGGTCCGTTCGGGGAACCGAAAAAAGGATGAAAAAGGGTGCATTGAAGCGAAGGTTGGGATGTCCTTCTCAAGGTTTTGTGCTGCGCACACATCGGATGAATTCCCGGCTTCTTTTTTTTGTGGGTGTGTGGTGCCCCCTGTGCCCCCCCAAAAAGGGGCTGAAGGTTTGAACGTCGGAACTCGTTGGGCCGTTTGGACAGGCCGCTTGCAGGAGCAGCGGCGGAGTGGCGCGCGGAGTACCGAGCGAACGCTCAAGGATCGGCTGAGAAGGCTGGAGGAGCTGCGTTCGCAGCAGGTGGAGTCTTGGATGACGAAGAGAATAATGAATAAGGAGTAGTAGAATCCATAAGGAATTTCATATTAAGTCCACAAAATAATGGTTGCCGTAAAAATTAGTGAAATCCACAGAACATTGAATTTGCTCTTTTGAAGTTATTCTTCACCTTCATTTCTGGGATATCTTATGGTGGGTGGGCTGGTGAGGGTGGTAACCTGGAGTGCACTTTGTTGAGCTGTGAGTATGAGATAGTGTGAGTGTGGGGGGTGGAGCCAAAGGATGGCTTCAATCAGATCTCGCAGCCTGGTCAAAAGACTATGCTAAGGAACAAGAGAGCTACCTCACGCATTTGAAAGCCTCTGAACACCAGCTCCGTCAGCGCAAAGCCGCTGCGGCTGTGCGGAGAAGCCTCCGTCCCGAGAACAGTGGACCATCCGCCCTAGTGGTGTCACGGTGGCACTGTTGGTGGAGGGGTGTGTGTAGGGGAATATGAATGGGATCTCAGTCCAGACAATGTCAGCTGGTAGTTGGACAGCCCAAGCTTTGACACATCTATCACATTTAACATATGATGAGCTGACTTCACCGCCCAAGGATGAAGACATCATGCCCTTGGCTCCCAATGATGACCTGGTCGAGCCTTGCACTGCCCAGGTGGTGGAGGGTGCGGATGCAGGAGGGTTGGAGAATCCTTCAGAGGAGAGCCCCGACCCAGTCGGAGTTGCTGAGGATTTTAGAGAAGTGGAGGTGGAGGATGCTTCAGGAGCTGGGGACGGGGAGCAGGGAGAGGCAGGAGATGCGAAGGATGGGGAAGTGGAGCCGGAGGAGGAGCAGCACGCGGAGAAAGAGGAGGAGAATGAGGAGATGAAAGAGAAGGAGGAGCATGACGCGGAAAACCAGGAGAGGGAGGAGACAGATGAGAAGGAGAATGAGGAGAACGAGGAGAAGGAGAAGGACGAGGAAATCCCTGAAGTCGAAAGGGCCCACTTCGAAATGGCAGAGCTCCATGGAGTCTCTGATGATGAGGTTCCGGAGGAAGAGGTCCCTCCGGTGGCTGTTGAGGCCAGCTTGGATGAGGTAGAAGATCCTCATGAAATGGATGCAGAGGAGAGATCTCAGTCAGAAATCGAGGCTGCAGGAGGCGTGATCTCTGCGGCTGAGGCTCCGAAAGATGCGTCAGATCCTCCCGTTGCGGAGGTATGTGAGGAGGCTGTGAGACAGGAGGCCTGGGGCCAAGGCTTTAGTTCTTCATACAGTTCCATGTGGATCTGGGAGAAAACACCTCTCACAATCGCTGTTCACACAACAGTCACTCAACCACAGTTAAATTGTGAGCCAAAAGTAGTAGCACGCTTGCGGCTCTGCGCCTCAAAAGGGTAGGCCAGAGAGAAGAAAGATTGCCCCAACATCTTTCTAAACCCCCATTGGTCCCAGATACTTTCACGATTTCCACTGGGGGGAGGTTCACCACGCTGTCCCAGACTCACTCGGCCCCGAGCGGGCCGAGTCTTGATCGCGGCCCTGCGAGGATGCGGCTGTGGACCCTGCGGATGGAATGGATGCCGTAGACGTGGCCCACTCGTTGCTGCCTCCATCCTCAGAGGCCACTGCCCAGGTGGAGGTGCGTGCTGAGGATGGGGCGAAGCGAGCCTTGGCAGGTTTTGGTGTGGGGTCTTGAGGCCCCGAAGGGCTCCAACAGTTTGGCTTGGTTGTGATCCCTCTCCCGAAAGACATCCAAGCCTGCAGTGAATGGTCAATGGTGGGGTGTTTTGCTACGAGAGCTGCAGGATTGCCAGGTCAGACAGGGAGTGATGGATGTCCCACACATCATACACTCCGACTCACCAACATGGAAGTGGATGGCATCGTCCCTTGGAAGACTACTTACCTTTACACACCAGGGGGTGCTATCCACGAAACCATTTGATGTGTTCGGAGTGAATATGCACGATGTGGAAGCCGTGGAAGTGGGTCAGGACCTGAACCTGGACCAATTGTGGGGTGTTTTTCACCTCCCTTGCGCCCGTCAGCTAGTCCAATCTGTTCCTGCACTTGGGTATATCAAGGGGTTCCAGAGTTGGGACCCGCTGCTGGGATTTGCTAGGTATCAAGATTTAGATGTTGCTTTGCATCTTTTTTATGGCTCGCGCCATTGCCGGCTGGTTGAGCCAGGGCAGCCAGGTCAAGCCTTGAGCCTTTTTGTTCAAACACTGGTTTTCAGAGTTGGTCAGTTTCGAAGCTAAGGCACGATTTGGCGGGGTGTTTGGAAGAACATGACCAGCTTGTGCGTCGTAAGACCAGCTTGGAGAGAGGGAGAGCCAGCAAATGGGCTGAAGGACTCTCTCCCAAAGGCGGGTGTTTGGTCAAATTAGGCACCTTTCCTCCGGGTTGCAGTCCGAGGCCACGTTGCCATCCCCAAAGCTCCCGGCCTTCCCAAGTGTCGTGGCGGCAACTCCTCGGAGGGTATAGCAGGCTGCACTGCTGCGCATCTGATTTTAGTGGCACCTGAGATTTGTAAAGGCCAACTTCTATAGAATGAAGCAGAGTGAACCTTCTCATTTGTGGACCGGGGCGCCCAAAGACCTTCCGAGGATGTTGACCCGCCAGCTCGCATGTTTGCAACTGGGGTCTTGGGCCATTTCAAGATCCAGAGAACTTCAACATCATGAGCGCCGACCACTTGCGGATGTACATCCATACAAACCACCTGTTGGGGGTCTTGTGTCAATTCTTAACATCACCGTGAAGAGGAGGAGAAGCCAGAGCATTGGCCGCCGGGTTTTCCATCGCCGCCGATCCTTCGGGGCCCTCGTCCTGTCACCATGTCCTATCCAAACAGTGGGGATGGGAATTGGTCCGACTCACCTGTGGGCCATGGGCACGTGTGGGACATGGGCACTCACTCAGGCCGTTGGACCCGCTTGGGCGAAGTATGAGTTCCGGGTAAGACAAGTCACAAGACTGTTCCACTCCACACAACCAGATCGTGTGGGAGAGCTTGGGGGCTCAGGAATCAGCATGTTTTCTCAATCCCACTTGCTTCGGGACTTGCGCAGAACCTGGGGACAGCGCTTCCAGCATCTTCCAGCAGTCTATATAAACGTTTTGTGCCAATCCCTACAACCTTGACAGGATATCCGCAGCTGCGCTGCGTGCTGCACTTTGACCCACCAGCTTGGCATTTTCCACCAAACCAGGCTTCTCTCCATTTCGCCTAGCTCAACGGCCAGCCGCGCCTCGCTTCGCCCCCGTGCGTTCTGCGTCCGCGGAGGCAGAAGCGCAAGGCGACCCGGCGCCGGAGCGGATCGAGCCTGGCCAGCCACACGAGCCATGGCAGTCGAGGCGCGCCAAAGGGGCAGAGAGCGCGCGCGGGCGGGTTCTGGCGCTCTCCGGCGAAAACCTTGGGGTTCCATACAGAGGCCGTTTCAGCCGACGGAGAGGGGGGTCTTCGGAGGCCCCAAAAGTGGAGCGTTTCCAGACTGCCCTGGCCTGAAGTCCCAGTTCGTGGGTGAGTGTGTGAAGTCTATGGTGGCGAAAAGACGTCCCTTTCAGTGGGATGTCTCAGTCAACGCCTGCATGCAATGATCCTAAACACAGGACGCACGCACAACCATCCACCAAACAAGCGTTGTGCATGTGTAGCCCATTGCTATAGGCAGCCATACAGTGCAACCGCCTCTGCCAGCTAAAAAAGACGCCAGTGCAAGAAAGACCTCCGCTGATGTTGAAGTGCCACTGACAACAACAAATGGCGCATTTATTGCTCAGCGCCTCTGTCTGTCCAGTCCGGACCCCTTTAGCTTCGACCAAGTCTGACCCATTTACACCTTTCAAAAGGCTCTAAGGGCTCGAGATCCGATTCGAACCCCCCGATGGCATGGATCCAGATCCGATGGCATGGCAATGCATGGCATACCCTATATGAGACAGTCACGGACGTTGTCCCTCAGGTTCCATGGGGATTTCGTCCCCAGGAAGCGAACCGGCAGCTCTCGGCCAGGCAGCTCCCGCAGCTCCGCACGGCGGGCGCCCTTAGAGTGCCGCGTGTGTCTAAAGAGGACGGTGTGGGATCACGGTGGAAGCAAGATTGGATTGGACATCTAAGGAGGCATGTTCCATGTTTTGCTAGATGCTGCTTAGCTTATCCGACCTCTTCCTGTTGGTTTTTTGGGGGGGGGGCCTCCGGCCTTCCGGTGGACCGAAGAACACGTCGAGCGGCGCGTCCTGGCTTTCGGTTGACCTCCCTAGAGCCTGTTTCTCCCTGGTCAGTTGACCTCCTTAGTCGTCTCCTCTGTTTTTGGAGCGGTCCCCCGGTGTCTCCTCAGGCATCGACTTCTAGCGGCCTTGAACGATCGCTTTCTGCCTACCGAGGTGAAGGGCGTGAAGGAGCCTTACAGATTCGACTCGGTGCTTGCAGCACTGACATGTAACGGTAGGGCTTCCCGGAGAAGTGGATCAAATCCTTGAAGATACATGTTCGATTATATGTTCGACATGCAAAAACATGGTCAGTCCAAGTCCTTTCTCATGGTTGGCCACATCCTCTTTGATGCGAGACCCCGTCCGCCATTTCTGAGCCTACGGGGCAGGCCTGTGGAGAGTTGATGGACGGCGGGTGGCCTCGCCCCAGTGGGTGCAACAGCCCAGTGCCCAAACGGAGAATAGGAGAATTGAGGATGTAGGGTTCCCAGACATGTTGATATGTTGATAGCTATGTCAATGGCTATGTCACGTTATGGATATGTATGGATATGTCATTCCTGTTTTTGGAGATTTCCACTCTGACTCACTAACAGTGGAAGTGGATGGCAGGTTCCTTTAAACAGGACCACTTTCCTTTGCACACCGGGGGGTGCTATCCACTTCCATGTTCATGAGTCGGAGATTTGCACTTCCACTCTCTTGAAATTCATGCTTCCGTGGATGGCATGGCCCCTTTTGGTTCGCCAAAAAAGGCCATGAAGTCCGAAGACCAAGCAGGTTTGTAGTACCATCCCACCATGATTTCAGGCAGTGTAGAGACCCAAGCACCGCCGGGGGTCGGGGCGCTGAAAGCGACTTCGCCCGCAGAAGCTGGGGGGTCGCCACAGAATCTCCGGCGAATTCGGACGTTCGATGTTTCACCCCGTTTGCATGAGAAACGAGGTGTACAGATCACGTGCTGAGGGGACCTGACTGAAGAGACCTCCCAAGCAGCGAAGGCAGCGAACGCCCCAAGCATGTGAGACCTCCTCGGCAGAGTGGCTTAGCGTCTCCCTGCTTTGGCCGACCAAAGGGCTGGGTGCAGCCCATGGGGGGGGCTGTGGTGGTGAAGTGTTTTGGTAATGATCATAAATGATACTGATAGCTTCTTGTTACTACTAGTAAGGCACTTGTTGCTAGAAGCGATGCACTTGTTACTAGTAGCTTCTTGTTTATCTCCCTTTGGACACTCTGCGTTTTGGGAAGCTCATGTCAGCAGCGATCGGCACTTCATTTATCTTGAGTCCGTCTTAAGTATTTTTGAATGTTCTTGGCATGTCGCTTGTTGGTACGCGGACCGTCACCTCAGAAGTACTTGTTTGAACAAGAAGTGGTTCCAATGCGAATGGCGCTCGGTGTCAGTTCTTTTGAAGCAGCTGCACATCCTAAGGAACACACTGTATTGATTTGGTAGCTATAGTTCTGGTGGCCACGAACGAAAGCAACGACTCCGGAGTCGCCCATGCACGGAGCGTGAGGCTTCCATCAGGGTTCCACCATTTGCCGGGTCCGTGTTCCCAGCCGAAGCGGCTGCAACTGGGGGCTCCAGCATGTTATTGCGAATGCTGCGGTTGGGCCCGCGACAGGGCCTTGCGGCCGCAGGCGCGTGTCGACCGGACTTGGGGCGACCTACAGCGACCTAGGCCCTACCCCCGCGAGACAGTGCTTGAAACGAGTCGATGAGTCGATGAGTCTAGGGGTTGGATGCTGTGGAAGCGGCTTGGCGCTGTCAAAGTCTTCGATTTTTGCCATGATTTTTCTGCGGTCATTCAGATCGCAAGTCTGATTCTCTGGTAGCCATCCTGGAGCAGGTCGATCAGGTGCAGGAAGTTGAAACCATGGAAGACTGCTCTGCATCTCCCAGTGCTAGGGTGGAGGCCATCGCGGAGGCCATCGCTAGTAGGTTGGAGGCCATCGTTACTAGGGTGGAGGCCATGGCTACTAGGGTGAAGATCTCCATTTTCAGCTTCCGTGAGGTCCTCATGGGCTGCAACAGCAGTGCAGTCGCTGTGCCTGAAGCGGTTGCACCCTCCACGGAGGCACAAAACACCAAAAGTGGGATGACACGTCCCGCATTCATGAACCCTAGAAGTCCAAAGACTATATATTTTTGGCACCACCCCAGCACAGGACATTCCTTGTTGGATCACCTGAAGCCCGTTTTAAACATGGTCTCGGACTCCCAGGTTGAATGTACATGTGCACTCCTTGCCACCATGCCACCTCACAAAGCCCTTCACCAGGTGGTGGCCGTGGAAAGCCTTGATGACGGCTTGGACCGCTTGCCAGAGCTCAGTGTCTCTCAGCCACTACACGCACCCGATGATGCAGCTGCCTCGACGGGCCAAAAGAGCCACTTCGAGGAGCGAACGAGAGTCCTCACGGTCCGTCGCGGGGTCCGCGCCCGCGCCACGCCGAACCGCGCGGTGCGAGCGCCGATTCTCGAATCCGCCGTCGAATCCGCCGATGGAATCAGCGGCCCGTTGTTCCCAATCGGCCGGGAGGACGAGCCGCGAGTTCCCATGGCCTCGCCCGAGAGAGAGGCGCGCGACGCCAAGAGCGAGGCGCTCCGCGTGACCAAGCCCAGCCCGACCGTCGCCCGGAGAGAGGGCCCGGCGGATGGAAACGAGTGAGATTGAGAGGAGCACACAGAACACCTGGATGTTCAAGAAGTGTAAGGAACAGCACGAACACTGCTAGTATGGTATGAAGGCAAAGAGCTTCTGGTCCCATGATTGACAGCAAGCATCCTTGGGCCCTCCAAAAAAAGAATCTCTCGAAAGTATAACTTGGAGAACCACATCTGGGCTTGGACATGGCTTTCCAATGTTTCTCGACTCCCGTGTTTCGCCCTCACCATTCAGCCGGCATGCAGGTCACGCCATAGTAGCCGCCCAACCCACGCGCAAAAAGCGCTTCCTTCAACCCCCCTACGTGGTGGTCGCTCCCCCACCACGTCGATCCGAGGTCAGCGTGAAGAGCGGCGGCGCGTTGAGCGCCAACGCCTCGCCCTTCCGCTTGTCGGTCTTCTCCACCTCGACGGACCGAAGTCTGCCAGGCTGGTGGGGGGCAGTCGGTCAGCGGTCAGCGGTGCGAAGGGAAGCGAAGTTCCAAAGGAAGGTGATGGCTGAGGCCCAAAGGAAGTGAATCCATTGGCCCAAAGGAAGTCTTTTTTTGCATTGAGGCCTGGGATGGTGTTCATTGGGTGTGAGCACAATGTGAGTGTGGTCAGTGGCCTGATCAAAGATCATTAGTTGATTCAAACGTGGAAACTCTGAAAAGCCTGAGAGAAACTGGAAAGCCTGAGTGCTGTTGGAACACATCCCGACCCCCTGAAAGAGTTTCACGTGAATCTGGATATGGGAGGGATCCAGGGGAGCACTTAAGTTAACAGTAGGCACATGTGGGAGACAAGCACCATAGTATGGGGTTCAAGATGCAAGTGGCCTTGGGAAAGCCTTTCCATTGGAAGTTGGAGCTCGTTCTTTTGGGAGAGTCGTCCGTTATGGATCTCTGTTTAGGCTGACAGAGGAGTCCAGCAGTGTGTCAGGAACTCAATATCACTTGAATCGTGGGGTTTAGCTCTCCATTCCTCGCCTACTCCGACCGCAGCAGGCGACAGCGCCTTCCTGTGGGGGAGCCCTCAAGTTTTGTTCCAGCGGTTCCAGCAACAAGCAGTACGCGGCGAGACCTGGCAGTTTCATCTGGCATTGCCGTGTCATGTGCGGATGTAGCTCTTGGTTTGAGCCCATGCAACCCACCAACCTGAAGCTGGTCTCGTCGTTGAGAGCAGACCAAATCCGGCCACAAGAAAGACATCCAACTGATTTCGCACGTGAGCCAGACTTGAAAGTTCACGGTCCGGTCGTTTTGCACCCTTTTCATTCCAGGACCCTCCTGTTTTGGGGTGTCCAAGACAGATCCCTAACTACGAGTGACTTAGTGCAGTCCATTGGACACCTAAAACAGGATGGTCCTGGTACTGGTCGATCTTGTTTCGTACCCGACGAGTTGGACGACCCCCTGGGGCCCAAGGAGAGCCTCTACGACAGCGACGACGAGCACAGCGGATCGCACCGCCGCCGCGGCGCCACGGCGTTCGGCGCCTTGGGCAGCGACCTGCCGTTCCTGAAGTGGTCAGAGCCGCATCGCTTCCGGGAGAGGCGGGGTGGAGGGTTGGGTTTCGGTAGCGGCTGACCGGGCTGGGAGTTGGCCGAATCAGAACCCTTCGCAGTCCCTGTTTGACCGTGTTCCTGCGCCGTGGATCGTCCCTTGCTTCGCCCAGGGCGCGTGACGGGCGCGGGGAGAACCCGGCGCGCTGGGCCCAGCCGCGGGCGTCGCGTCGGGGCGCCGCGGGACCCGAGCGGACGCCCGAGCCGCTGGAGCCGCGGCTGACGCCGGAGGAGCAGCAGCGGCTGGGGAAGCTGGCGGCCCGCGCGCGTGAGGTGGGAGGTGAGGGAGCGGAGGCTAGTGGTGGGACTGGGCCCGGGATAGCTGGGTAGCTGCATGCGGCAAATGCCGCAGAAGCCTAGCACCACTGCGAAATTGTGCTTGGTTTGGCAGACAGATCTTGAGGTACTCGTGTTCGTGGATGGAATCTTTAGCCACGTGGTCGGAAGCTGCTGCAGAAGGAACTCGTGAGTGGTGAGGAGAAGTTGGTAGCTTGAAAGGCATCTCGATTTTACCTGCGTTTCCCTATTTCCCACACTTCCTCTTATGTCCCCACAGGTGCGCGAGCTCATACGGCCGCAGCTGAAGTCGGAAATGGACCTGGCAGAAGTGGCGGGGCAAAACGCGCCAGCGGTGGGAGGGAAGGGGAGAAGGCCGGAAGCGTTCTTCCATGATTGCAACCCACAATTCCACTCACAACGGCAGGCTTTCGATGGGTGGCTTTCGAGGGCCAGGATGTTGCAAGAATCCAGGTGCTCCATTCAGAATTGCCATTTTCATCTTCAGAAGACCATGGTCCCTTTGTCCACGGCTGCCTTCGCTCTGTCCCACCTGAGGTCATCGATCAGGTGGCCCGTGGGAATCACTTCGTGGATGCTTGTCCCCAGGGCGCCGGTTCCGGAACCGCGCCGGACCTCGCGGGTCGCGGGACTCGGGGGACCTGCACCAGGTCCATTCATGACTCGATCTGCGCCACGATGGACTGGAGGGGCTGCGGATTCCGCGGACCCGGCCGGACCCGGTCGCGGCACGCGGCTTCCCGCGGCGCCGAGGCGGAGTCGCTGCCGCACGCCGCCGAGACGCTGGGCGTGCATCCCAGCGGATTGGTCTTTCAGGTGGGGACGTGGGATTGGAAGCGGACGTTGAGATGGTTTGGGGGAGCGGGGAAGAGTGGGACACCGAGTTTGTTGACGCATGGCATGGTGTGTATTTTTTCCCAGGGCCCACTGCCTAGGGCCTAGCACAGGTCATGGTGGCCCGGTTTCGTTGCTTGGGAGGGTTGCTTTGGAAGGACTCGCGCGTGGTGTCAGTCACAAATGGGGGGACGGGGTGCCCATGATTCACTCAGGAACCCCTATTTTTCTGGTATTTTTTCCAATTTTTCCGGATTATTTTTTTCACATTTTTTTCCCTACTACTTTTGCTTCTGCTTTCGCTTTTTGCTTCTGCATTTTCTTTTGCTTTTCCTTCTGCATTTGCTTTTTGCTGCTGCTTCTGCTTTTGCTTTTTGCTTTTTGCTTTTGCTTCTTCATCTGCTTTTGCATTTGCTTTTGCTTTTTGCTTCTGCATTTGCTTTTGCTTCTGCCTTTTGCTTTTTGCTTTTGCTTCTGCATGTGCTTTTGCATTTGCTTTTCCTTCTGCATTTGTCTTTTGCTTCTGCTTCTACTTTTGCTTCTGTTTTTTGACGTTCTGCGCTTTTTTGCGTTCTGCTTTCGCTTTTGCTTCGGCTTTTGCATTCTGCTTTTGCAATTAGAGCCTGTGCTGCTGCGCTGCTTGCAGTGGCCAGGGTCTAACGAGCGTGAGTTGCTGCAAGGGGACAGCTTTCAACACTGCGCTGGTTGCAGCAAAGACCCTGTGCTGCTGCAAGTGGCCAGCTTCCACAGCTGCGCTGCTTGCAGTGGCCAGGGTCTAACGAGTGTGTGTTGCTGCAAGCGGCGAGCTTCCCACTCCTACGCTGGTTGGAGTAGAGGCCCTGTGCTGCTGCAAGTGGCCAGCTTCCAAAGCTGCGCTGCATGCAGTGGCCAGGGTGTAACGAACGGGTGTTGCTGCAAGCGGCCAGCTTCCAATGCTACGCTGGTTGCAGTAATGGCCCTGTGCTGCTGCAAGTGGCCAGCTTCCAAAGCTGCGCTGCTTGCAGTGGCCAGGGTCTAACGAGTGTGTGTTGCTGCAGGCGGCCAGCTTCCCACTCCTACGCTGGTTGCAGTAGAGACCCTGTGCTGCTGCAAGTGGCCAGCTTCCAAAGCTGCGCTGCATGCAGTGGCCAGGGTGTAACGAACGGGTGTTGCTGCAAGCGGCCAGCTTCCAATGCTACGCCGGTTGCGGTAAAGACCCTGTGGTGCTGCAAGTGGCAGCTATTCCAAGTTGACTACCCTTTGATGGCCCTTCCAAGTTGGCCCACCCTTGGGTGACTCACCCGAGGGTAAAGTTTAGAGAAGGATGTTGCCATTCCAAGTTGACCCACCCCTTGTGTGGCAATGCAGGGTTGAAATTTAGAGAAGGAAGTGGCCATGCCAAGTTGACACCCTTTTGTCGGCCATGCAGGGGTAAAATTTAGAGAAGGATGTTGCCATCTCAACTTGACTCACCCTTTTGTGGGCAATGCAGGGGTAAAATTTAGAGAAGGATGTGGCCCTCCCAAGTTGACTCACCCTTTGGTGGGCCACTTGAGGGTAAAATTTAGAGAAGGAAGTGGCCATTCCAAGTTGACTCACCCTTTTGTGGGCCATGCAGGGGTAAACTTTGGAGAAGGATGTTGCCATCTCAACTTGACCCACCCATTCAATGCAGGGTAAAATTTAGAGCAGGATGTTGCCATTTCAACTTGACTCACCACTTGTGTGGGCAATGCAGGGGTAAAATTTAGAGAAGGAAGTGGCCATGCCAAGTTGACTCACCCTTTTGTGGGCAATGCAGGGGTAAAATTTAGATAAGGATGTTGCCCTCCCAAGTTGACTCACCCTTTGGTGAGCCACTTGAGGGTAACATTTAGAGAAGGAAGTGGCCATTCCAAGTTGACTCACCCTTTTGTGGGCCATGCCGGGGTAAAATTTAGAGAAGGAGGTTGCCATCTCAACTTGATTCACCCTTTTGTGGGCAATGCAGGGTAAAATTTAGAGAAGGATGTGGCCGTGCCAAGTTGACTCACCCTTCTGTGGGCCATGCAGGGGTAAAATTTAGAGAAGGATGTTGCCATCTCAACTTGACTCACCCTTTTGTGGGCAATGCAGGAGTAAAATTTAGAGAAGGATGTTGCCATCTCAACTTGATTCACCCTTTTGTGGGCAATGCAGGGGTAAAATTTAGAGAAGGGTGTGGCCCTCCCAAGTGGACTCACCCTTTTGTGGGCCATGCAGGGGTAAAATTTAGAGAAGGATGTTGCCATCTCAACTTGACTCACCCTTTTGTGGGCCATGCAGGGGTAAAATTTAGAGAAGGATGTTGCCATCTCAACTTGACTCACCCTTTTGTGGGCAATGCAGGGGTATAATTTAGAGAAGGATGTTGCCATCTCAACTTGGTTCACCCCTTTGTGGGCAATGCAGGGGAAAAATTTAGAGAAGGATGTGGCCATGCCAAGTTGACTCACCCTTTGTGGGCCATGCAGGGGTAAAATTTAGAGAAGGATGTTGCCATCTCAACTTGACTCACCCTTTTGTGGGCAATGCAGGAGTAAAATTTAGAGAAGGATGTTGCCCTCCCAAGTTGACTCACCCTTTGCTGGACCACTCGAGGGTAAAATTTAGAGAAGGAAGTGGCCATTCCAACTCTTTTAAGTGAGCAATGCAGCGGTGAAATTTTGAGTACGCAGCAACATTCGGGAAAGGGCCTGTGTGCGCACTTGCGTCCCCCCGCTGGGGTGTGTGCGCGCTTGAGTCACCAAGTGCGTGCGCAGATGAGGCGCAAGGGCTGATAAAATGTGTGTGCGCACTTGAGTTCAATCCGTGTGCGCGGATGAGGCGCCGTCCGTTTCCACCCGAGGGTAAAGTTTAGAGGAGGAAGTTGCCGTTGTTCCTTGTCCCCTACAAAAGCCTTCATTAGAATAGTGATGCTTCATTAGTCATTAGACTAACAACTATATAAAGCTTTCGAAATGTGATGTCGCTGTGCCATGCCGTTTTTGCGTGACCTCGGTGGAAAGTGCGTTTGCGTGGATATCCGTGCCATTGGGGGAAGGAAAGCCTGCTGGTGTAAACACGGCGTGTCATGGTGGATAGACAGGGTGGACAGAAGTGGGCAGTTACGGTTGTTTTTAGAACCTAATTTTAAAGTAAGCTTGGCCGTATGACTTGGCAATAACGCTGCGTAGCACTGTCCTTGCGTGGGAAGTCGAAAAGCTGCAAACCATGAAGGGGGAAGGCCGCAGATTTGAAGACTGGCCGCAAGCCGAGTGCCACCTGGACCAACAGGTCTTGAAAGGTGACGTGGCATTGGCACGGCAGGGCCGAACCTCGGCGAAGAGGCTGTTTGAACTGCAACAGCATGTCTGGTGGAAAGACCCAGCCGACAATGTATGGTTCATGGTCCCTTCTTCCATGCTGGCGGTTGCTGGCACATATGGCAAGAAAAAGACTTACCAACCTCATCAGCCAGTGACACTTCCACGCAACGCCCTGCAGCATCTTGCGACATTGTGCACTGCAGAGTCCCTCGCTGTTGCTTCTCGCGCCCTTTCTGAGTTAAAAGAGTTAAAAGTGTTTGATGTTGCTTCAGGCTCCTTGGGCTTTGGGGCGGCAGAGCGGGTCTTTGCAGATTGGCGCTGTGTTGTAATGGGGCCGAAGGTGCAGGACTGTTGGCGCTCCCACTGCCAAGATCCAGAAGGCAACCACCATATTCGCACCTTGTGCTGGTTTTGTGAGACTGCCGCAAAAGCAGGGTCTTGTGTGCATAGCTACTGTGCGTTGTTGCGTGAGGGTTTCTTGTCCACTGCTCTGGCTGCGCAGCCTCGCAAAAAGGGTCGCCCACGTAAAGAGCATCAAGCTCATCCCTCTGTGCCTGTTTCCGGCTCTCTTCTTTTGCCTGGCCCACTGCTGTCCAGCTCGCCTCAGCCCAATGTCAGCTTGTCTCCAGCAGTCCTGCCTGCGTCTGAGTCTGGGTCTACTACTCTTCTGGAAGTCTTGCGTTCTGCTGGGCTTGAATCTCTCCGCAAGCGATTTGTGTCCCAGGGTGCCACAGTCTCGATTCTTCGCGACATGAGCTACACGGACTTTCAATCCTTCTTTCAGCTCTCCCTGGATGCACACCGCCTCAAAGTCGAATTGGCAAAGGCCGGGTTCTGATTTCGTAAGATTCAGTTCAATCATATCACACCTCTCGTCCGTTGCGCTCGTTTTGTGGTGCAGGTGACACCGCCAACTGCCATGGCCTTAGATACGTTTAAGAATGAGGGAAAGGAGGTTGGAAATTTGAACGCTGGGCAGACCTTGACCTGTTGAGGCTGCCACCAATGAAGTCTTGGCCTCAGAAACCTAGATTCCGTATACGCTTCGGTTTTCCTGGGCATTTTGTCCGTTGTGCTCGTTTTGTGGTCCAGGTGATGCTGTCAACTGCCATGGCCTTAGACACGTTTGAGAACGAGGGAGAGGAGGTTGGATCTTTGAACGCTGGGCAGACCTTGACCTCTTGAGGCTGCCGCCAATGAAGTCTTGGCCTCAGAAACCTAATTTCCGTATACGCTTCAGTTTTCCTGGGCATTTCGTGCAGTCTGACAACCAGAAACGCTTGGAAAGGGCATGCTGCACACTTCATTATTCGGTTCGACCCGGCTTCCGTTTAACCTATTTTCGCCCGCTTGCCGACTTGGCTGTTGTGCGCGTTCTTCAGGCCGGCCCCGCGAGGCCAACTCCAGGAGCGGCCCACGACTAAGCAACGTTGCGTTCCCTTCAGTTTGTCCTTCGCTTCCACTCTATGTACCCCACCGACTTTTGCATATCTAATTCCTCAGGCGCTTGCCGCGCCCAAAGCAGTCGTGACCTCAGTGCTCACGTCATTTTGGCCTAATTTCTCGTGGCATTTCTTGTTCTTGTTCCTTGCGGCAGGCGGAATCGCCCAGGCAACTTGTCTTTGCCCTAGGCCCTAGATGCTTTCAAGCGGCTTCGTGCTGCCGCGTACATCGTGACTCGCTATGCTCGTAAACGCCCAGGTGGCCAAAGATGCCCAGAACCTAAGCCGTTGCTTTCCTGCTTCCATGGTCGGATGGAGTCGCGACTTGCTTGTATCCGAGGCCCGCACGCAGCGCAGCTATGAGCGCTTAGCCGCTTACGGATTGCGTCCGCTGCCACCACAGTGAGCACAAAAAGGAATCCAAGAGTGCTAAATTATAAAAAGAAAAGCATATAATAACTGTATATGTGCCCAGCCACTTTCCTCACTTCTCCTTCGTTTTTAATGGTCTATTTCTTTTTCTCTCTCTCTCTCTCTCTCTGTCTCTCTCCCTCTATCTCTCTCTCTCACAGCCACATATATAAACTGTATGTGGAAGGCGAAGAACTCCTAAGAGACTCGAAACCGGAAGACAACGGCAAAGAAGTCCCTATTATCGTTTCCCTTTCCCATTCATCGCTGCCCCTTCTCCTTGGCTTTAATCTTTCTCTCTCATCGCAACATATATAAACTATATGTGGAAAGCCGAAGAACTCCAAAGAGACCCGAAACCGGTAGACAACCACAAAGAAGTCCCTATTATACTTCTTCTCTCCACTTTCCTCACTGCTCCTTCTCCTTCGATTTTCTTCTCTCTCTCTCTCTCTCGCGCGTACATATATATTTTTTTCGAATCCGAGAAATTCTTTAAAACATGAAGCCGGAAGAACACCTAAAGCACCCCTAAGGACAAGAAACCGAACCCAAAGAAACCCGAAACCAGTGAAACCCAAAGACTACCGCAAAGAAGTCCGTATAGTAAGTGGGATACCTTTTCTGTTCCCTCCCTTTCTCTCCATCACGCTGGCTTTGGCGCTTCGTCCCCTGCCCTTGCACTCCCAGCAGAAGCCAAAGCAAAAAGCAAAAGCAAAAGCAGTAGGGGAAAAAATGTGAACAAAGTGTACGGAAAACAGTTGAAAAACGGAAAAAATCTCCATCCATTCACTCACTTAGGATCACTTAGGGACTCAAAAACCATCGTAACTGGCGTGAGATGTTGTTTCTTTTTCATGTTTTTTTCTCGGATGGTCGGATGGTCTTTGAGTGGAGTCAAACGCGGACTGCTTTGGGGCGGATCCGCTGATCGTCTCCGATCCCAAGCTTTGACCCCAACATAAATGGTACCTGAAGAGTTATACCTCCAGCATGGTAACATGGGTGGGCCGGGTCCGTCCTTATTACCTGTAACAGTCTGTAAAGAATTATTACTCTTTTTGGACAAGGACTTTACCAACCATCACCATCCACGGTTACAGGCAATAGGATAGACCCAAGGTGGGCCGAAATCTAAGAGTCCTTCCAGTTTTGAGTTTGTTCGTCTAGGGCCTTGGAGGTGTCTGAGAGATGGCATCATGTGAACAAACCCACGCAGATTCACCTCCCTTGTGCCTGATGGTGAGGCCTTGCTGTTGAGAGCAGGCGCCAAGTACGGTGGCCGTGGTAGTTCAGCGCCTGCAGTGCCCTGGGCGGAAGGGGGGCGCGTTGCTGGAACTGAAAGTGTCCGCTGGCACTTGAAGTCCCCAAAGACCGAGCCGGCGCCACAACTCTCTCGGCCACCGTGGCGCAGCAGAGTTTCGAGCGAATGACACTGCGCATGGTCCCAGAGAGGGTGGTGGACTCCATGATGGGTTTCTTTTTAAACCTCAAAATCCCCAAAGGGTGCCTCTTTCATTCTATTATCATGGGCCCTTGGAGGTGCTTCGCGGTGTCCATTGACCCGCCACCGCCACTCGCCCAGGTGGAGTTAGAACCAACCCTCAGTGAGGCAAGAGGGAGGAAGAGCCTGAGCTGAGGGAAGCCATCTTGAGAGACAACAAATCAACAGCACTTGGATCTGAAGCTTGAGACCCCCAATGGGGCCAGGGTCTATACATATTTGACAGATATGGCCTGTGGCCACCATTGGAGTCTCAATCATAAGCTAAACAGATCATCATCTGATATCATATGTAATAGCATTTCATCGTCTTGAAACACCTTAAAAAGAGGTGTTTGCTGGCTCTCCTGGCGAGGGCAAACTGTGCGATGCCCATTGATGTCCCAATGTGTAGATCAATCCGGCATGCCTTCCGGGCACCGAGGTGGTCACAGAGACACACACACACACACATTTTGGAAGTCGTAGGAGGTTCACGACACCTCCCGAAGATTCTAGGTTCCTTCCAGTCAAGAGGCACCCTTGTGTTAACCCCAGGTGACTACAGTGTCAAGGAACAACGTGAACGAACTAAGCAAAGCCTTTCGGTCCGAACCTGCCACTCGCACGTGAGCCTTCTCTTCTCAAGCCAGGGCAAGGTGGAGAAGCTGGCCTGGGCAGCACGAGAGCTCACTGAACTGTTGCGGGTGAAGATCCAGGCCAGCGTGGATTTTCGTGAAGTCTTGGGAGCTGAGACGGGGCCTTTAAGGACACAGCAACGAAGAAAGCCAACAACCCCACCGCCCACCTGGCTGATCAGCTACGGGGGGTCGGGACCAAGTCTTGCTTCCACCAGAGGGGCCGACCTCGGTGGACCTGTAGGATTGGACTGACAGACTGACGTCGTCTCATGCAACCACTTGCTTCAGGATGATGGTGACCTATTGCTTGCCATGCGCGTGCTAGAGGACCTGGTCGTGGGGTTGCTGAGGGGAGTGCTAAAGGGCTGATTTCTGGCTCAGATGGTCAGCCCAGCCTGCCCAGCTTCCCAGGATTGCCGACGCTTCTTCCGTGCGCTGTCACTGGTGGCCGAAGGCAGGCTCATCGGAATGTGGGTGTTGGCACACCGTTCCCCACCATTCCAAAGCACCCAACGGTAAGAAGGTCCCAACAGCTGGCGGCCCTCACAAGCCCTCGATGCTCGCTGGGAGGTTGGGTATGGTTTGGGTTGCTCACAGCCGGTTTCTGAAGCCATCAGAAAAGCCTCGCCTCTTGCAGGTCGAGGCAGTTCGAGCTTTCAACTGCTGGAGGACCCGAGACGTGGTTTTTGAGCCCCCACGTGGGAGGGACCAAGAAGCTGGCGCCGGGCTCGTAAAACTGAGATGCCTTTTTCTTCCCCCCTGGGGGAAAGGGTACATCGGCCAAACCATGCCAAACCCAAGACAGGTAGATGTAGCATGTATCCATCAGGAGTCACATGGAGTTGGGTGGTATTTGGTCCCCTAGCCTTCATGGATAGCACCCCGTCTTGTGACTGCTGGCAGTCTCTTCAGGACTCTGCCGGAGGCCACTCAGTCTTCCGCTGTGCCAGGACTTGTCACAGCTGAAAGAGTGAAGCGGAGGTGTTACGTGGCACGGATCTGGAGGGTCAAAAGGCCAAGTGAAAAGCAGCCCTTTCAGACTGTGTATATACATACCCAGCGCTTCCTGTCGGGGTGCAATATGGAGACCTGTTAGTAGTGTGGAGATATCCATTGGTGACCCCTTCGAAGAAGCTGGTATATGAAATGATATTTATATTATGTACGTTCTTCCTTTGACCTCTCTTCTTGACCTCGGGCTGTCACATATGGACAAGCCCCATGAAGCCATTCCTTTCCAAACATCTCTCAAAAGTCTCATGCCGAACCCTGTGACCTGACATGTTCGATTCGCCAAGCTATCAGTAGACCCGATCGTTTGGAAGATCATTGGTGCCGTCGCATGGGCCCTCATGTTCCAGGGCCTCCGGGTGTCACTGAATTTCTTGGTCTTTGAAAGCCCATTATTGTTTTGTTTTGAACGATGGTTTGGGGTGTTCCCTTTCTCGGAGCAAAAACGAAAGGTGGGCCGAAACTTCGTGCTCCATGTGCCTTGTCTTGGCATTTGGGTTTCTGAGCACGGAGTAGGAGTGTTTGAGAACGGACTCCCGATAAGCCAAGCATACTTAAGATGCCACTGGCTGGTAGCGATCGGCAGAGCCGACAAGAACCCTGTCCGCGCCAACGTCTTTAGAGCGCTTGGCCGGCCGGGATGGCTGGGCCGGCTGCCTGCACGGAATTGGCGAAGCACCGCGGGTGTGGAAGGGGCCTAAAGACCGTGAAGATGTTGGCTTCGTCGGCCGAAAGCGAACCTGGTTCCCCCTAAAGAGGACTGTTTGCACCACCTTGGCCCGGGGAAGAGGTGTTTTCTCACTTTAAAAAACAGGAAGAACGTGAAGATGTCACTCAAGCTGTGGTGGCGTCTCACCTGATCGACACCACATCGCCCGGTCATGTTGGTCCCACCGGTCTTCGGTCCCCGGTACGCCTTCGTGCGGGCCCGCGGGTGCACCGGCGCCTTTGTACAGCTCAATTTGTGGCTTGAGTGGCTCCCCCCACCCGGGATGGTCGGATGGAGCGTGAGGGGAGCCACCCAAGTGACCGGTGAGGTGGTTAATGTTAGGAAAAAGGCGCCTGACTTGGGGTTCTTGTGCAACAGCAGGTTTCAAGACCTCCCTGTCTTTGGGATCGAATGCAGCCCCTCCACTCCGCAGTCAAAAGCGCCAGACACATGTAGCAACGTGGCGCCACGATGCGGCTGTTGACAGGTGAGGGGCTTGGCAGGGTCAGGTGGTCCATGGTGGTCCCTGTCTGGTCGCGTGCAGAGCTTGTTGAGAGGCTGCCAGGCGCCCTTCTTTAAGGCCATTCCTTTTGGAGCCTTGATCTTTGGATGTGGAGGCATTTCGGCCCCAGCATGGTTTAATTGAGGAATTCGATGCCGAGCCCCCCTTAGGGCAGAAATCGCCCAGCGTTCGATGCTGGGATGTGACTTGGAAGCGGAACAGCGTCCGATCTATCGGTCTCTCCGATCTCTGGTACCAAAGCAAACGCCTCAGGGCACCCACGGTGCATGAGAAGAGGGAGCTGTGGACACACTACTTGCAGAAGGCGCGTCTCGACGCGGTTCGGGGGTTCACGCGGCGCATGTCTGTTTTGAACCTGAATGACCCCTGTTTTGGAAGATCAACTATCCAAAATATGAGGAGGTTTTCCTTTCACACGGGAGGTCAAATGGGTTCTAGGTATATATACACTTGTGAAGCAATGCCCCACCAGGGTTTCTGAAACACAAAATTTTACAGTCATCCTGGAGTAGATGGAATATGAACCCATCCAAAAACATGACGAGTTTTCAAGTTTAGTTTTTCAATGTTTTTCCTTATTCTATCTAATTAGTCCAGGATGACTCGATGACCATATCTTTACTCACAGCACGGCCCCGCGCGAGGCCACCAGCATCCAGCCCATCACTGAGGTGAGCGGAGCTGCATCTCAGCTGCGAAAGACGTGGGAATGACTTGGCCACGAAAGTGGTATGTTCCCACTTCTGTGTGAGACGCCGTCCAAGACTTGCAGAAATTGTATATATAATATGTTGTCCATCGGCTGTTGCACAGATTTTTGTCCAACTGGTTACCAACACAGGTTAAGTGACCTTATAGGACCCTACTGGGGTACCTATAGGATAGTCCATAGGGTTCTGCAACCTACATGGAATGCTAGCCGATCAGGACTGTGCGGCTCTTCGATGATTCCTCCGAGTCATCGACCGACCCGAGCTCCATCGACCGACCCGGGATCCCCGAGTCTTCGGCCGTTCCCGCGAGAGCCGCCCGACCCGATCCACCCTTGGCCGACCAACCGTCCAGGTCAACCAGTCGGTCTCCCCACGACCCACAGCCATCGTCTCTGTCGGCACAACGAGGTGGTCGTGGCTCCAGCCTTGCGCGCAGCTTGGATCATCGGCCGGAGGAACTTGGAGAAGGCCGACTGGCGGGGGGGTTCCGTTCTGGAAGTGGAGCCCACTGGAGGCGTTCTTAGGGCCACTTCGGTCTTGAAGATCTGCCCTGGTTCTTCCAACAGCCTTCGATCCACTCGAAGTGGAGTTCGAGCTGCCAAACTCGAGAATGGGCAGTTCCTCCGCGCGGGGTGCGGCTGCTCTGGCCTGCACCGCGGCGGCCGCGCGGCGCTCCATGAGCTCGCGCCGGGCTCAGGGACTTCGCCGAGATTTGCCGATACTCCGCTTCTGCTCGAAACACCGCCAGTTGGCATGTTCCGATTGCCGGAGGCCGGAGCTGTGATCTCATCCTGGCGGTGGCGCGTGGTCGCGCGGAGGGCGCAGTGCAAGTACCATGAGGAGGTCGCTGCTGGATCGATGTTGTTGATACCCTCCTGGAGACTTAACATGGACCTGAGAACAAACATGATTCCTGGAAGAAGATGTTCCTCTACAACCCAGTGGTTTTACAGGCTCCAGGTTTATTTCTCAAGAAGCGTAGGGTTTGGAAAGTCTTTTGCTGGTGACCAAGGTGGTGGGATCCTGGTGCAAAGAATCAGGTGAACACCTAACCTAACCCAGCGGTTGACCGAATTCTGCTCACATATTGTATCGAGTTTAGGAGTGTGGTCTTGTTGGGGGTCTTGAGATGCTGGGATTGGCGGCAAAAAAGCTCGCCTACCAGAACCGACATGCAGAACCTCCAGTGTTGTAGCACACTCACAGAGAGGCAGAGGGGGGTGGTTCAGACTTGGACTTCTATCGGCGGTCTGAGGGGTCGCTCAGGGCCCGGTCTGTCGGTCACCCGGTTTCTGCGACTTCGTTTCGATTTGCCCAGGTCCGCTCAGGTCGTGGATTTCAGGGACCAACTTGGTTTCAGAAGGTTTGGAGGTACACCCTGGTAAGGGGTGACACCACTGGGTTTGTAGAGGAAAATCATGTTCCAAGAGTCCATTTTTCAGGCTCCAGGTGGGTCTCTTCCCAGGTTCAGTTACGGTATGTCTTCTTGCAACACCCAGGAGAAGTGACACCCAGTTCCGTTGACAAACGCCTTCAAAAGGCACAAAACAAGGTGCGTGAACATGCACGACCAGTGCGGTGAGAAGACGTAGTGGCATCTCGATACGGCTCAAATCGTGTCACCCCCTGAAGAAATCTTGCCTGGATACACCTGGACATTGAACACAACATTGGTTGATGAAAACAGTAGACCTAAGATGCCCATGTGGGCAGCGAACCTGCAGGTTCTGTTTGCTGTTTTTTTCTCCCCTGAAGCGGATCAAGGCCTCCTGGCTGTTTCTGGCACGGCGACGTGAAAAGGCTGCCGTGCAGGCGCGGGGGGAGATGATGCACCAGCGCATGCGTGCGTGCGTTTACACGTCATGTCCCATGCCGCGACATGCCGGGACTGCATCACATGCAGTTAATTTTCTTGTGAGCGGACCCTCAGCCAAAGACTGCAGGCATTGATGAGTGGGCCATAGACTTTAGTTGCCTTGAGTTCCTCCTTCTAGCTACTGTAGATTCTGTAGATCTCAGGCACGGAATTTCCAACCACTGGCGGAAAGGGCCCCTAACCCAGCCGAGACTCGACGGGGCCCGTTGCGGCCGTGCCCGGCAGGCCTTTCTTCGCTGGAGCCATGCAGTGGCTTGTCCCATGTTTTCATGGGGTGCGTGTGAAGGAGACCAGTCGTGTAGCGGTGTGTAGAAGTGCTTGCGTGAGCCGCCACAAGAAGACGGTGGGTGAGGGGAGTGCTGACGAGCCTCGTATCCTGTCGTTCTCGACAGATCACCTCTTCGAGGTGAAAGTGGACGTTTCCATCCACTTTCTCGCACCTTTCGTGGTTTGCTTTCTCGCAGTGATGTTTTCCACCCAGGCATTCTCGGGTATTCTTGGTCCGGTTCTTCTTCCTTTACAATGGTTTGTAAAGGTACCAGCAGACGCACCTCAAAATTGGACCGATTTGAGCAGTTCTGGGAACTGCGCAGCGCTGGCGCACTCGCACCCAGAATCACTCGGAGGCCGCCTCAACGGCCTCAGCCCGCGCTTGCGGCCACCTACTCACTGCGCAGCGGGCACGGCGTGAGGCGCGCGAAGCGCAGCACACCCTGGCGCCGGTGCTGGCGGCCTGGTGGGGCGTGGCAGCAGAGCAGCGCCTTGAGGCGGCGGAGGAAGCGCTGAAGGTCGCTCTGATGCTGGAGGCAGAGCCAGAGGAGCTGGAGCAGGAGGGACTAGTGTGAGCTCCTCCACCAGAGTTTGTAGAAAAGCATCAGGGAAGGCTGGTTCAGAAGACACATCAACTCCTAGAACTCCGCCCCTAAGGTGCCCAATGGTCTTCCCTCCATACAGGGGTGAAGTTGAACCGTATCTAGTGCTTGCCATCACTAGTTGGCCTTTCGATGCAGCTCCCAGATCTCGAGCAAGGTGTCACAATTCTTGATTCTTGGATGCCCCTGATGCCCTGCTGGAAATCAGGACAGTTGCCTAAAGCCCTGTCTTCCTTCCTTGGAAGTATGCACCGCCCCTCGATTTTCGCGGCCAGTTGCACTGAATCCCAGGTTGCGCTGAATCCCAGGCGCCTCTTCCTAGTGAGCTCCGCCTCCCTATGTGTACCTCCCTCCAAACTCTTCGACCCAGCCCTGAACATCCCTTTCCATCCAGGAGCTCTACTTCTCACCGTGGATCCCTGCAAGCACCACGAGCGGATCCTCCTCCCGGCAACAGGCCTCCACGCATCTGGCAAGCACCTCTCAACAGGGCCTGTGCTTCCTCGAGGCGCTGCTCTCGTTGGAGAGCAGGACCTGGAGAGGGCTGCCGAGCGGCGTTGCCTTTCGCGCGTGGCGACAGGTGGTGGAGAGTGTGAGGCTGCGTGCCAGATGGGCCACTGAGCGACGTCGCGAGAGCTGGAGGAAGGAACGTTGTTCCTTGTTTCAGGCACTTAGCCATACTGCCATACTTGTTTGCAGACATTTTGCGATCACTTTTTGGGTTCACAACGTTTTGAATCAAAGAACCGGACAGTTCCATCGCCTGGCGCTCAGGTTTCATCGCCTGGTGCGAGGTTATGGACATGCTGCAGCGCGGCAAACAGCTGGAGCGGAGCGAGCGGAGTGAGTTGGAACTCCTGACGCGAATGACCTTTATGGGTTGGAAGTCCTTTTCCCTGGGTGCCCGATCTGCCCAAGAGCTGGGCCAGTTGAGACATGCCCTGGCAAAGACGGAGTCCTTGGCGAAAGTGATGCTGAAAGATGCGGCAGAGGAGCTTCAAAGCAATTCCACTCATCTTCTTTGCCTTCTGATCCTTCGACTCTGGCGTTGGCTTCCCGCCATGCTCGCAGAGAGGTGCTCCCGATTACAGACAGTCCGAGATCCCAACTTTGTACATAGCAACCTGGGATCATTTTGGATGATGTGAACTTGAACCTTTTTCCAATTTTTACTTGTCCCCACGTGAATCTCCTGAGAATTGGGTGGAAGGTCTATGCATGTTCCTTTGGCTTCCTTCCTGCAGCTTAGGCCTAGTTCTTGTGCTAAACTGTAACTATATACCAGCACCTTCAACAGGTCACCAATTGAAACCTGTTAGGGCCCTTCCCAACCCTCCATTTCGGAGACCTGTTGGAGGGTCCAGGTACATATAACTGGTCTGCCTGCTTCCATGTCTGGCGTCTGCAACCGGCCCGGTCCGTTTCTGAGGTGACCTGGTGCCACGAGCCGTTCTCCACAGGTGGCAGGTCTTGGCGGCCAGATCTCCACAGAGGTCCTGGAAGCGCTTGGTGCTCGGATCGCGCCAGAAGCACCGCAAACAGCTGGCCTTAGAAAGCTTGGTGGATGCACTGGATGCAAGAGCCCGGAAGACACAACTCGGAGGTGGGGCCGGTAGGCCAGCATTTCGTGGCTATCAGGTTTGTTCACGCAACATTTGCATGCTCTAGGCTCAGGGGGGCTCAGGGAAACTCAGGGGGGCTCAGGGGCCCGGGCACCGGAAGGGGGGGGCTCAGGAAGGGTGATTTCTTGGATAAAGATGATTAAAGGATGTTTGTGCGGGACCTAGAATATCAATCGTCTATCATCATGAAAGAGAAGAGGGACAAGGTCCAAGCAACTTTTATAAGTACCAGCCCAAGATGTTCATGGCACTCACCTGAATTCCAGGTTTCCAAGAGCAAAACAAGCAAGTGTCTTGATCTCCTCTCCCCCTGCAAGGCCCCTTGGCATGCTGGGCGCGTTTGGTTGCGCGATCCCTCCAGAAGCTCCGACAGCAGTGGGCCCTGGAGAGCTTAGTCGACGCCTTGGATGCGCGGGCCACCGCCGCGCGAGTGGCTTCTTCCACGTGCCCGGACGAGGAAGAGGCCGCCAAGTCGGCACGCCTGACAACAAGGTGGGGGGAGTGACAGCTGGGGCCATGTAGGGCCCAAAAGGGCGCCTTGAGAAGGTCATGAATCATGAATGGGTTGATCAGGTCGGATCAAGGTTCTTGACACGTGCGAAACGATCAAACAAACGGAGATCAATTGATACCAATCGCCACAAGAGTAGGTGGGGTTGAATTCTGCCAAGAGATCAGATGTTGTGATTCTCAGGTGGGTCGAGCAACTCTTGGTCCAAGTGAGCTTTACGAGTTGGAAGTCCTCTTCCCTGGCTGCCCAGCATGGGAGAGAGCTGGGCGAGTTGAGATCTGCCTTGGCAAAGACAGAGTCCTTTGCGAAAGTGATGCTGAGAGATGCGGCGGAGGAGCTTCAAAACCAAATCCCCCCAGTCCACCGTTAATCGCTTAGTCCATTGTGGGGGGGGCTCAGGCGGCAAGCGTGCCGTTTTCACGTCCCCAAAGCGCCCAATTCGAGGACTTTCAGGAGAACTCCAATCAGCTTCTTTGCCTTTTGATCCTTCGACTCTGGCATTCACGTCTGGCCGGCCAGCAGTGTCGGAGCGGCTGGACCTCCCTGGTGGCTAGGCACTTCGAACGCTGGCAGCTGCAAAGGATATTGAAGGAGTGGTGCGCTGAAAAGCAGCGCCGGTCAACGCGACGTTGGCTGCAGGCGGACATTGGACCTTGAATTCGTCACCTCGATATTTTGCTCGCCCGTCCCTTTTTCCCCTCAATCCCTCAGCCTCAAACCCTTAAACCACCTGTCATCTCTGTCATTCAGGCGGAGATGCAGCAGGCCGTCAAGGCGCAGCACTGCGAAGTCTTGCGTGCCGTGCTGAAGTGCTGGAGACTATTGAGCTGCAAGGAGAAGGCAGCTAGACGAGAAGCGCTTCAGGCGCCCAGGAGTTTCGAACCGAGCTTCGCCCGAAAGCGACCGGTTGGTTTCTCTGACCGAAAAAGCGACCGAGCTTCAAGCGGTTCGGTAGCGCCATGAGCTGCGGTAGCGCCATGACGTCAGGTCTCCTTCAGTTGCTGGAGGTGTTTCTCTTCGGGATCCCGAGCGGCAACGGCCGACTCACGCGCTGCACCACGCCCGCGCGCGGAGCCCACGCAGCCGGCGGAGCGGTGTGAGGTACCCAGCGCTCTCCTTTGGAGGCTTTGGTCTTCGTGGCGGGAGGCGGGGGCAGTGTGATCTGAAGGTGCAGGGTGGGTTGAGATGCCAAGTGTTCTTAGCTCCTGAAGATTCCTATATAGTGCCTAGTGACTAGTGGCACCCAGTGGCCTAGTGACGTGGTCATGGAGGCAAACAATCCTACATATATGGGATGTAGCTTTAGGATCTTGGGATTTCTGCACTCCCCGGCGTTGATATGGCCAGTGGAAAATCGGATCGTCAGGCCGTCCGGATGCGTCGCCTCACTCTGCGCTGGGCCCAAGCCTGGTGTCGCTCCCGACACCGCGAGTGGCTGCGCCGCTGCTTTCGACACTGGTGCGAGGCGGAACGCTCGGCGTCGGACGTGTCGCCGATCCCAGTGGAGGAAGCTGTGCGACTTGGCGGACATGAGAAGACCACGGATGATCCGGTTGTCGGAGGAAGGCTTCCACGGATGGTTTAGGGCTTTGAGTGCGCCAATGCAGGTGGTGGCCTTGTCAAAGCGCTTCTCTACAACATACAAACTTTTTGCCAATCCCTAATGCAACATTTGTTTGACAGACCCTAACTAACCCCTCAAAAAGGCACTGTTTCACAAACCCGAATCCAGCAAGTACAAACCTCGACCCAGAAGCCCAAACACATTCAACATAAGGAACTACAAACATTTGTTTTAGGACGAAGATTTCTTAGAGGAAATCTATTTCTTTTTAGAAGTTAAGGGCTTATCAAAGGAAAGAGTACCGTAATTCACACATTTGTTGTATGTTTTGCATTTTCGATATCGCGCATTAAACAATTGGAGCGATTTAATCTTCTTCTTCTTCTTCTTGTTGTTATTCCTTTCTTAGTTGCAGGCGTTGCTGTTGTTTGGTTTTTGTCTCTTGGCTGCCATGCTTTGGGTTAGGGTTAGTGAAACTGTTTTTGGGTCAGGGTTTGTGAACCAGTTTGTAGAATGGAGTTTGCAAGCTTTTTGCCCCATAGAAAAGCCAACCTGATTTCAGCAGCAGTGGTCTAGTGAGGCGCGTGCAGCCCATGACATGGTGTTTCTTTTTTCCGATCAGTCTCTGGGATGAATTTCCCATCTGGTCCATACGCATTTCTGCCACTCAGGACCGATTTGGGAGATGAGATGCTAGAGGGAAGTTTTGCCAAGCAACCTGAAGAGGAAGATCTGCCTTTGGAGCCGGAAGAGGGGGCCACATGGCCTCGCTGGAGCTGTTTGTGTGTGTGTTTTATTTTTCCAGCTTAAATGCTCAAATCCTCCTGTTTGACTGGGACCTCTAGCAAAAGCACTGTCTGGAGATCCTTGCTCCGTCCAGGTCCAGCCAGAGGAAGAGCAAGCGCCTCCCACGGTCTTTCAGCCACTCTTTGAGCCGGTGACCGCCCAACCCGCCACGGCGTGGCCGATGCCGGCGTGGCCGGTGGCGGCGAGCGATCCATGGCGGGAGCTGGGCGTGGAGCTGCCCGCGGCGCAGTCCCCGCGCCGTGAAGAGCTGGAGAAGCGGACCTACCTGAAGCGGATGCCAATCCTCAGGGAAGTGATGCGGAGGTGGGGATTTAAGGGCGAGTCATCGCATCGGACCGGCAGCTTGGTGAATCTTTGTGGGGGGGAAGCTGCCCCAGCTTTGGGCAGCTTCAACTTGCCCGTTCCCAGGGATTTGGGTGGAATTTCTCCGAGTCCTTCACCGGTTCGCAGGTGGCGAGAGGCCAAAGTCTTGGAGCCGGTGGCGCCAGGGCACCCGGTTCCGTGGGAAGTCAGTTCCGAGGGTCGGGGATCAACAGGTTTCAGTCTGTTAACACCATGTTGAACCCGTGAACCCCCTGCTTTCGACTTGCTGATTGAAGCATGGAATTTGGAGCAGATCAATCTCATACCTTCGTTCCATGTGGCCTCTTCTCAACGCGCTCTTCTCAACGGGATCGCTTTCATGGCTGGCTCCATCTTCGACCGAACCACTACGGTTCCCACGCCGAGGTCGTCTCCCTCGCGGCCGTCTCCCTCGCGGCCCGCCTCACGGCCCACCTCGGAATCGCCCAAGAGGCGGGGAGAACCCGCTGGACCGAGGAGGAGGGAAGGGTTCAGCGTGGGACATGGTAAGCAAATAAAGAGAGAGTTGAAGAGTTGGCACATTAGTACACGTGTATAAGTGTCTTATGTCATGCTTTCTATCCCTTTAGTGATGTGAGCGTTCACCGCTCAAAGTCTTTTGGTTCGAGCGGTGGTCAATGAGCTTGACCTTTGCTCTTGATCTCCTTCGAGAGCTCCGTTGGTCGTGGCCAGTTCAGTGCAGCTCCTCTGGCCTCAGCCTTCCCTTGGTGCTCTTACTCCTCATCCTGGCTTGCTGCTTGGGCTGCATCTGTGGGGGCCTCGTGGTTTTGACTGCGCTCTCGGCTTCTTGCAGAAGAGTACTAAGCTGGCTCATTTCTGGGTGCGCTGCCGCTCTGGTCGATCCTCTTCCTCAAGGGGACACTTTGAGGCGCAGGCTAGGGCAGCATCGTGCTGTGCATGGGGCCTGAGCGCCAGCTGGACCAGCTAGTTGTGGAATTTGGGGATCTCAGGACAGTTGAGCAGGGCTCAACTACTTCAGCAGCGGCCTCTGATCCTGGATCTTGGGAACCTGTTGCGGCTGGAGCTTCAGCTTTTGTGCCTCACACTCCGGAGTGGGAGAGGGCCCTGATTGCTGCCCTCACTCCGGAAGAGATCGAAGGTCTGGATTTGAGCCCGGTCACTCATTTGCTGCCGCGCATTCGCAGCAGTAGCAACGGCTGGAGCCCACTCGGACGTCTGGGTCGAGCATTGAGAGCTGGAGTGCAAGCTAAGGAAAAGCTGGACCGTGGTCGTTGCTCAGCTGGGACTACATCCGCTTTGACTTTGCCCTCAAAGATCTACATCATCCTGGAGCCTGCCCCCAGTGGTCAGGCCGGTTGGACTGACCACTGTTTGACCTTCAGAGATCAGGTGCTTGGGCGCCACGGTGACATCCACAGAGACGCAGTGTGCCACGCCTTCCCCTCGCGTGCTGAGGCGGAGGCATAATACCTCATTGGTGCTCAGCGGTGGGATTCTGTCCCTCCCTCAGGGCAGCTGCCAGCTCTTTTCTTGGTCTTGCGGGCCAAGGAAGATGGGACAGGGTTGCGGGTCACCGCTTTTTTGGTGAGGATTCGCTCTGGCGGCTTCATGGTGGTTCTGCCAGACTTTGTCGAGGTCACCCAGTTTTTGAGAGAGGAGTGCACCTCCGATGGTTCAGAGGCTTGTGCCATTTACCCCACCGAGGTCCTCGAGATGGTTGCCCTTTTCATGCGAGCTCATCCCTTGCGCAGTTCAAGTACGTTCGAGCTCTTGAGATTTGCTCTGAACGACCAGCCTTGTCGACCTCGACGTTCAGCCCTGCAAGCGGTGGCCGAGCAATGGATTCACGAGGTCATGGGCGACGATACAGCTGGAGATTATGTGACAGGGCTCTCAGAAGAGGAACTCCTTGTGGAGGAAGATCCGGCCGGTGCTGGAGGAGATGGCTCAATGCACCTCGACGCTTTGCAAAGAAGGGTGTCAGAGTTAGAAGCTTTGTTGAGGCAGCAATCACCGCCGCCACTCCTCCAGCCACCGAGGAGTCTTATTCGATGGAGCTCGAGCAATACCCAACACCGAGCCTCGAGAGGAAGCTTTGGCCAGACTGCGAAGCTTGGCAGGAGCGGCTCCGATGCGGTTGGGAGCACACGAACGAGCTCAAAGGGCCCAGAGACCAGAGCAAGTTTTGGAGTCACTGCAGCAGGAGGAAGGCCTAGAGGCTCTCGAGACCGGCGAGCTCGAGGAGGGCATCAGAGATCTGGAGGCTACAGTTCAGGATCCTGTCCAGCGAATGCTTCTCCTTCAGATGCAGCAGCTCTCACTCCTGACACGCAGTTGAAGCAGCAGGACCCGATTTCAGCCGCGCTCAGCGGTGGTGGGGGAGAGTCTTCAAGCACGGCCAGTGCAGGGATCAAAGGATGTATGGCCAGGGAGGCCTTCATTCGCCTGATGGAGGACTTGCCCAAGTTCTCCTCCGTCGTGATGGCAAATGCGGCCCGCGAGCTCGGGATAGAACTTTCCAGTGTGGGCCCGGGCCTGCGGGATTACATCGAGAAGCGCTGCCCGCTTGGAGACAATCGCCACTTGACACGGCAAGCTTGCCTTTGGGCTTTCGCCTGGGAAACCGGCTTCCGGTCCAACAACATCGAGCTCATGGCCATTGCGAGTCGGGGCTTGGTCTACATAGATCAGACAGCCATGGACTTCAACAAAACAAAGTTGAGTTGGCTTCTCACGGCCCTGCCCGAGCCTCAGTACAGCATCTGTCAGAAGAACAGGCTTCCGAACACTCTGAGCCCATTCAGCCGCCTAATTAGCCAATGCGAGCTGGGTTGGAGCCAACGTGGCATTCATGAAGGACTTAGATTTCCTCGAGTCAAAGATGAAGGCCACCTCAGGAACCACGAAAGGAGTCGGAGCTCAGGAGGACGGGCACGAAGAGGCGCTCCAAAGAAGCCCTGGAAGAAAAAGAAGGCCAATGCTGGCGCGACCACAGAAGGGTCGACTGCCTAGATGGAGCCAAGTGCACTCCGTCGCCCTCTCCTCTAGTCCCCTCTTTGCCGGGCTGTTCTACCTCAGGACGGGGGGTGTGTAGCCCTACTGTCTTTTCCGGTCGGGAGGCGGCTGGGGGAGCTTCGGACGGCATTTTCAATGGAGTGCAGAAAGAAGATAGGCAGTTCGGCTACGAGCCAAGAGACGGAAGCTGCACGGCCTGTCGGAGCATGAAGCCTTCCCCGGGATCCACCACCCGGGCGGTCAGTTTCCAGTTCCAATTAGGTGCACCGAGGTGGTGACAGCGATCGCTACAGCAGCGGGGTCTGGTTCGGATCTTGCTCATTTTCTCCATCGCAGCTGTCACCCTGTCCGCAATGCTTGGGCCTTGCAACCGCGAGGCGATCTTTGGCCTTGTCCCCCTCCGAGGCGATGGACGGCCGACACTTCAGTTTCTCCAAATCCCAGAAGAAGGCGACGGCTTCGCCGCCTCCAAGCTCGAGCTATCTGCGTCCAGAGGCTGATCATCACGATGAATTGGCTGGCCCTTGGACAATGCAGGTCTCCTCCTGACTATGCCCGCGCCGGCTTTCCTGTTTCAGCTGGCCAAGAAGCGATGATTGAGAGGCTCGGAGATTTGGTTGAGTATTATTTGGGTTGTGGTGAGGTAACCCTGGATAATTTGGGTAGAGCCGGTGAGAAACTGAAGAATTTGAGTGCTGCAGCTTTTACACTCCCCAATTTTTCCAAGGAGTTTGAATTCGATGATATTGCTAGTTTTTTAAACCTCATTCAATCCTCTTTTGATTCGTGCTCGCATCCACGTAGTCGGAATAGTGACGGTTCAGAAAGAAGGAACTCTGGCAAAGGCTCTGCCCAGGACGACCAGGGTGCACGCCACCCGCAAAACTTGTCTTTGAACGCTTGCGCAGCCATGCCTGTCAAAGCCTCTAGGATAAAGTGGAAGCTGGCTCCGAGTTTCGATCCCCGTCCATATCTGACTGATCCAATCATTCAGCAAGCGTTCGAAGACCCTGAAGTGTTGCGACGGCCAAAGACCGACTGGCCTCGTGTTGCTAAAGCGAAAGTGCATGCATCCAAGTCGGAGGTGCTGGCGTTGGCTGAGAAGTGGGACCAATTGGGGGCATGCAATCTGGTGTCCTGCGAAAGGGTTGATCCAGTGGAGACGGTTGGACTTTTCGCTGTCCCCAAAGACAGCGAGTTCGATCGCCTCATCTTGAACCCGAGCGTTGTGAACTCTAGGTCGTTCTCGTATTCGAACTACACCAAAACTCTTGCCCCCGGATATGTGGTTTCTATGGTTACGCTCGCCGACGACGAACAGCTTGTGATCTCCTCCGACGACTTGTGTGAATTTTATTACACTTTCAGGGTTTCTTCAAAGAGGGCTCAGCGCAATGCAATCGGTATCAGATACTCCGCTTCAGAGGTTGCTCATTGAATTTACAATGTTATGATCCTTCAGTACACTCAGGTTCATTGTATTAACCTGTTGCGGCTCCGGGCTGGTTGCATGCTTCCGGAAGAGTGCTTGCAATACAGACGTCCAATCCCCCGTGGCCCTTTCTACGAGTTGTTGACTATTGATGACCATATTGGCCTGCAGAAGATCAAGACGAGTGGGGATTGGAGCCTGCATTGCAATCGTGACGAACAGGTTTTCGAGGCTGCAAACCAGGCTTACGTTGACGTTGGTCTCACAGCACACCCTGGGAAACGACAACGGCGGGAACCGCACGCCGTAGTCCTGGGAGCCGAGATCGATGGTTGTCGCGGCCGTGTTTCAGCCCCAAGAGCCAGGGTCATGTTGCTGAGCTTCATCACTTCCATTGTAGTTCACAAAGGGTTCGCTAGCAAACAACTACTACAGGGGCTGTTGGGTCTCATATTCTCCTTTTTAGGCGGCCGGTGTTCGCAGTGTTAGATGCTGTGTACACGGAGGGCGATGGTTTGAAGCAAGATGAACTTTTCAAGTTATCCCGGGCTACAAAGAACGAGTTGATGGCTTTATGTCTTCTTGTGCCCGCAATACAAACCAACATGCGAACACAAGCTCATCCACAGCTCTTCATGATGGATGCTTCGCCATACGGCGCTGGGATCTGTCGGACGACACTTTCTGCTGCAGCCACCGACGAGCTGTGGAGGCACTCGGAGCAGAGAGGGTACTATACTCGTCTACAAGAGGGCCCAGGGTTAGCTTTGCGTGAACTAGGTTTGGAACATGAGGAACAATTCGGTCAACCAGATGATGCACCTCTTGTTGCTAGCCCGCCTCGCGAACAGTTGAAGGTCAATCATACACTGAAAGATGGAACAAAGGTTTTTGATTGCATTGAATTGTTTTCGGGGCAGGGGAACTGGAGCAGTTGTCACAGACAATGTGGCCTTCGAGTGCATCCTGGCATTGAGCGAACAGCTAAAGGTAGAGGTTACGGTGATCTTTCCAATAATCAGAC